AGGCTTTTTAGACCATCCTGCTAATTAAATATGTCAAAGCTCATAAAGAAGTATTCTGTAGCTTTATTAAGCAATGTGCCATTGAAATCGCCACGTCAGCAGGGCATTCGGCGCACTGTCAATAAACATTAGGCAGCACATCAGTAAAACGAGAAAATGGATTGTCTTATTAAACATATTATTACTCCTGTTGACTATACTGGCTGGAAAATCACAGAGGCAAACGAAATATGCCCCCAATTACTCATGCTGCCATTTAAAATTCCTTTTGTTGTAAAGGGTACAGAACAAGATCGCTACGTGTTACTAATACCCAGATGGAAAGGAAACCAATTGCATTCCGTGAGACCAGTTTCAATCATAATATAGAAAGTAAAAGAAAAGTAATAATATACTTGTACTTATATAGTGATTTTCATCCTCAAGAATTACACTCTACATACAGGAAGGGACCCATTTCATCCAGCACTACAGCCATTCTGCTAACCAGGTGGTGGGGGGGAAAAACAAAACTTTGGCAGAAAATCTAAGTAAACTGTGAATCCTTTATTATACTGAAACTGCACTGGCTTTTATTTTTACTAGTAGCTGATGGAAACTGTATTTGGGCTTTAATAATGTCGTGTAGTCTGATTCTTTACATCTGAAAGCTGACATTCTCCAGAGCAGCTGGGAGAGTTCAGTTTAAAGACTCAGGCCAAGTCTAATACTACAGTCACTGAAAAGCCATTAAGCAACTGTTCACTCGCTGACACTTCTGCCTGTGTTATCACAGCGTGGCAAGCCAACAACTGACTGTTTCTTTCCTTTATTAGACAAATCAGACATAAACACTTAGCAAGGAAATAGCGAGACAGAATAGAGATATACAGTAACTGATACAATATACATTGAAACTAATGAAACAATTTTGAAGTCCTGTGAAAAAAACATGGAGAGTAGATCAGGATTCTTTTATAAAATGAACTGGTTAAAACTGTTACCTCCATGAGCCACACAGAAGGATCTAAACCATAGACTCAAACATGAATTAAGTGTAAAATCAGATTTAATACAGAGCTTTCCAAGTTTACTGTTCTGCATGTTTCATAAACAGTTACTCATGCGCACAGCTTGCCTGGATCTGAACACAGCCCCTGAAGACAAATATAAGTGAAAGATTTTCCAGAGCAGTTGGGAGAGTTCAGTTTAAAGACTCAGACGACCCCTACTACTATAGTTACTGAGAAGTCATTAAAATTTAATTGTCATTGAAAGTAATCAAAATAACAAACATTATCGGCGAGTATACATGTCACGTTCTTCAATCGAATAGGGAGAAAATATACGAAGTCACAGCTTCTGAAAATAAAAAGCATTGTATTCTAACTGCCAGCAGCCATATTACCCTGCAGCTCTCAACTGGCAGCCCACTGAAGCTCAGCAGGGTTGAGCCTGGTCAGTACCTGGATGGGAGACCTCCTGGGAAGCTATGGTTGCTGCTGGAAGTGGTGGTAGTGGGACCAGCGGGGGGCATCCACCCTGCAGTCTGTGTGGGTCCTAATGTCCTGGTATAGTGGCGGGGACACTATACTGTAGTGGGAGCTGTCTTTAGGATGAGACGTTAAACCAAGGTCCTGACTCTCAGTGGTCATTAAAGATCCCTTGGCATTTCTGCATAAGAGTAGGGAGTTATCCCAGTGTCCAGGCCAAATTTCCACCCTCGGCCTTTACCGTGGCCTCCAAATTGTCCCCATGTATGATTGGCTTGCACTTGCCCTGCGATGAACTGGCATCCTGTCCAGGGTGTACCCTGCCTTGCGCTTGTTGCTTGCCGGGTAGGGTCCGGCTTCCTGCGACACCATATGGTATAAAACAGGTAAATGACATGACATGTATTCTAACTAAATTTGCAATTGGGACCTTGATACTATCAAGCAACTGTCCTAGTATTCCCACTACCATAGGCAAACGACTGTCCTTCTACACAGAATCAGATTGCGTTACATAACAAGCCAGAGCTATAAGTGAGAAGAGGCCACTTGGCCCATCCAGTCTGTTTGGCGTCAGGTTAAGGATTCTGGAGATGTTTCTCGGCCCTCAGTGATGTTTCCATCAAACAAACTTGTCACTTAGGCTCTTTGGGTAGCTGTCTCTAACAGTGGCAGACCACCAACAAGCTATCGCACTCTACATCAGCAGATGGAAACCCTGATGCAGATCTTGATCTGATAAATACAGACGCTTGCACCTCATTTTCGGCAGCAGGAACATCATCAAAGGGTTATGAGTGTTAACGACACTAGAGGGTGTTGAGAACCAAAGACTGGAAGACCAACTTCTGATTATCTTGTCATGATCTCCCATTACTGATCCTTTGGAATGTTTTAGGAGCCTATGATTTTTTCTTATTGGTCCCAATGACGTTTTTAAGCAAAATGTTCTGAACTGTATACTTTAATGTTAATTTCATTATATGTCTTAAGTTTCTTTAGCAAAATACTGTATTATAGAATGCAGATAAATATGCTGATACATACTGTAGGAGACACCAAAATCATGCCCATTCCCAGGGATAAATTTCATGTTTTCATGCAATTAACAGTTTGCTTTAATTATAAAGAGAAGGCTCACTGTGAACAGTGAGACAGGTTAGTTTGATTGACAATTGAGTGCACAGAACGCTCAGCCAAAGCCCTGTTCACCGATTCGATAGCACTGCATATTAAGTACAACTGAAACTAACTTAAAATGGGCTGCATCTGCAAACTTTTTAGCTTCAAAGGAGCTTGGCAGTCTTTAAATATTTAATACATGCTCATGTTATGTTACAGTGCCTTAGAATATGTATATTATTCCCTATTTAAACATTATTAACAATGAAAATCAGCCATTTCGAAATATAGCTGAAAAATACAAAAATACCATGCTGAGAATTCTCCAGAAAGAGACATGCTGTAGACATAGTACTCATCAACGAGCATCATCTACGAGCAAAAGCAATATATGATCTAATAATGCCCCTGCAGATTGACAAATATTAATAATAGAACTTCATATCTGGGTAACCTTTTTAATTTCAATCCAAATATTCAACTTACCTTGCTGAAACTCCTCACGCTTACTAAGTTAAAGTCATTCTGCTCAGGTAAAATGTGAATAGAGTTAACGTTAAGTTACCTATAAAAAGTTACCACCAGTTACATGAAGCCAAGACTACTTTGCTATTAGTTCATATGAAAAGTGAACAGAAGTACAGTACCAGTCAAACATTTGAGCACACCTGCTTGAAACCAGGTTTTTCATGATTATCTGTGCTTTAAATTGTATAAACCTGTCTCTAAACACTTAATATTTAATTACATGAGATGTGTACTTATAATCTTAAGTGAACTGCATTGAAAATGTTAATCAAACCACATCTACTGTATGATGACCTCCATTCAGGTAAACAGTAGTAACTTGAAATTACTAACTAGATTAGCTGGGAGGGGTGTTCTTTAACACACATTATAGGAAATAAAATATCTAAACTTTATAGTTTTGCAACATGAAGCTATTTTTAAACACATTGCCTGATGCAAGATCACATGCCACAATAGAGGTATACGCCAAGAAACACTTACACAAGGCATGACTTGCCTACAGCAAACGGCCTGGAAATGTGTGCCAGACTCCCCAAAATGTTTTCCAGACAAGTAGGACGCATATTTTAAAGTTGAGCACCGCATGATTCATCAGTCTGTTCAATTAGAAACTCGGTTTCCAACTTTAAAAAAAATAATGAACTCCAATAAAAAGCGCACAATATGAAAAAGTAAAATAAACACCGAGTGGTGAGGTTAGAAGAAAGCAATTAAAAATCCATCATAAAAGGGTGGGAAGTGTTTTAATTTATCTTAATTATATTCTTAAAGGGGGGAAAAAACTATAAGGTTGGGTTGGATTTAAAAACTCGAGACTGAACTGAGACATTTTTTTTTTTAACAATTGGGATTACTGGAAAAACATTTTGCAGATAATAAAGAAACAAAGAACTCTGCTCCTTTATTATCATTCTACCTAGTTGTAGAATGCAACGTCAAACACTTTTGTTACTCTCCACACACTAGCCTTAAAAAAGCCTTTATAACAGGAACCTTTTCAAACTTAATTTTGCTTTGTTTGGTTTCTTCCTCACATTTGTCCAGGTAACGGAAAGATTTTGGAAGCTCAATATGTAGAATATATCAATCTATGCATATATAAAAAAGACGATTACTACTGGAGAGAGTTACAATAATCTGCAACCTATCCTGGAAACAGTCCATTGCAGGGCTCATACAACCAGGGAGCGCTTAGAGACACTAACTGGCTTACAGTAGGCTACACACCTTTGGAAGGTGGGAGGATGCTGAAGGGAAAAGTGATGTGGATATGAAGTGACCACGCTTCCTTACAGAAGGTGCCACAGTCCAGAATGAACCAGGTGCTAAGAGCTAAAAGGTACAAGCGCCACAGGAGGGCCCCAGTATGTACACAAACAGATACGGTCTACACAAAATATATCTACTGCATAACGTATACTACTGCAGTATTGAAAAGGAAAAGATTAATTCTAATTAATGCAGAAGTAGGTTATCCTCAAGCCAGAAGCGTGAGTTATAGTCAGGGTATAGTAGTTTATCCATCAGCAGTGGCACTAAATTGCAAATGACTTACGGAGGGAGACAAAAAAAAATTGCACAGTCTGAAGTATTGCAGGCTATTTCTTTTCCCTTCCTATTCTTTTCCAGACTACATCTTGTGGGCAGTTTTCAGAGACTGCTATAAATGACTGCGTTCTGCTTGCATGTCGCTCTGCGCGCCGCCAAGCATTAAGTCCTAATTTATCACAGAGAAATTTGGAGACGTCCCATGCATTAATTAGAGCACTCCTCAATCACCACTCTTCCTGGTAACTGGATGCAGCTGTTACTTGCCTTGCCTGGGCTTTTTTCTTTACCGCGAGAGTTACAAGAAAAAAAAAATGAATTCCTTACCTGACTGCGTCCCTGCCAAAGATCCAACATTGCTTTCATCTGCCACTGCAAAAATAAGAAGCAAGAGGACACCACAGGCGGATCAGAAAAAAAAAAGAAAACAACTTTCAACTCAAGTTACCTTTTAACGATGGATAATTGCAGACACATGGCAGAACGTGTAACCTTGATCGATACAACTCAACTGCAAAACCTTTTTTCAAGTCTAAGGAGGAGTCTCACTTTGAGCAAACCTTTAAGAGTTTCTCTTTTCTCCGCTACTTAATTGCTGTTTCTAGACTACAATGTCAATCTAGCACCCATTTGACCAGTTAAAATATTTTTTTTTTGCACCTACTCAAGTAGCAGCAGTGAATGGCAGCCATTCAGGAGATGTGACCTGCATGCAAGCTGGATTCTCACCCTGTTTTCTTGCTTTGTAAACTGTTAAATAAAACATAAGGTGGAGCAAAGTCGGCTAATGCTGAGGTATTTGTTTTTTATCAAATTAAGAATGGAGATCAGGGACAGTCTTCCGCCTGCAGAGCACAGACGCTACTGAATGATACAGCAGTTTGGCTGTGGATACAAACTTACATGCCTGCAGCAGTCTAATATCCCTGGTAAATAAAACTGGATATCTATGGTCTTTTCTTAGAGGGGGGAGGGATTATAAGAACTTAAGAAAAGTTACAAACCAGAGGCCATTCAGCCTATGTAGCCTATTAGGTTGCTAGAAGCTAATCGATCCACGAATGTTATCCAGATATTCACTTACATAAACTAACGTGGCTGGGTAGCTTGGTGCATACTCCCACAACCCTTGGTGTAAAGAAGTGCCTCCTGTTTTCAGTTCGCACTTCCACTTGTTCCCCCTGGTTCATTTGCAACTGGCATCATCTTTACATGGAATACACTTTACACTACAAAACACGTATTAAGTCATTACTTGATGCAGATTTCAAAAGGTAGCAAATACAGAATGCAGAGGTGTTTGTGCTTGCTCCTTTTTGTGCTTTGGACTTTGCCAGGGATCCATCATCTTTATGAACACGGCTGATCATTACAGCAAGGCATTTTTGCGTTTCTTTTCAATTCATCATTCATTCAAAATGATACAGGATGTAGAACTGTAAATGTAAAATCCAAATGTAAATGTACAGTATACGTTTGCCCTGGAACAATACACTCAATGCATTCGTGTTTTGGTTCGGGGGAGTTTGGCACATAAATAAATTGTTGTGTCTCAGCACGGCTGTATTCTGTGAAGAATGCAGGGTGGATTACAGCTCGGTGCTAATCCAAAGAAACAGGATTTAACTGGGTTAGGAGTGACAGCTGCCAGAAGAATATCACCATGGGACACAATAATAGGTTTTCATTACACTGCAATTTCTTTTAAATAATCTGTTTCATTTTTTATGAGGTCGATTTCCCAGAAGAAGGGAGGGAAAAACGAAATGAAACGCTCGGTGGTAGTCAGATGACCCCCTCGCCTCCAGAACATTCTGAGGACTGCACAACGGAAGGGGGGTTTCACGGAGCAGTTGGTCTTTCCTGGCTCTGCCTGGCGAACAGCAGCAGTGGAGCACAGCAACAAAACCCAGAACACATCCTCCCTCTCTCCGTCTTCAAAAGCCCAGAACGCACGGGGATCATTTTAAGCTCGATATCGCCATCGAGCCTTGCCAGTCACTAGGCACCCACATTCCGGTCGGCGGTTTAAAAAAAAAAAAGACAGCAGCATCAAATAGTTGCAAATGACGCGGTTTTTCGGGATCCAAAAAGAGGGTTAACAAAAAACAGAGACTGTTTAAATTAAAACAGTCACTTTGAAATTCCAGTCCTTTGAAATAGAGTCAAAAAAAGGCATCTAGGGGCTCTCTAAGTCCGTGTTAAATGAAATCTACAATTCAAAATTAGTGGGATTTATATTAAAGCGGGTTCTGATTTTTCACCTTTTTTTGTTGCTTTGAATTTCGGAGTCCCTCAAGCTCAGGGTCCCATTACTCTCACAGCTGGCTGGGTGGCTGAGTTCTTACCAGTTTAGAGGGGGATTTTCTGGAATCCTAAACCATCGGCTTCGTGTCCAAGAATTTAGTCATTTTTCGCCCCACAATTTGGAGATCAGGTACAGATTAAGATGATACGGAACAAAAATGCCAAGGTGAAACATCTAATTAACAGAGTGCATACAGTACATTCTCGACTCGACTATCAATTTCTTATTCAATAAAGTCTGTTTATGGAACTTGCTACTTCTCTTAAGCAAACGTTTACAGTTTGCATAGTACTGTACCTCTCTGGAGGCTCCCAAGTTTTGCAACTTGTATTAATCAAACTCTGGGGATTTATGCGTGAACTGGATTAAAAGGGCTATCATTTCCACTGGTGGCAAGAAGGGACAGGGAGAGTACAACACAGGGATCAAATTATAACTGAAAACAAATATCTGATGACCCCCACCAAGGAAACAAAAAAGTCCCAAACAAAGGTCCTCAACATAAATCTACTTTAGTAATTAAATGGAGTGAAAATGCTGTGCCTATAAACCGCAGGCTGAGGATGTGCTTGGATAAGTATTCTTTGGAATGATCCATGAAGGGACGTCTATGATTCTTCCTTTATCTGGCAAGTTAGCTCTTTAATTTACCTAATTTCCCCTCAGCTGAGATTTACAGTGTGGACATTTTTTGTCCCAGAAGATTAGTTTTCCCTTTGAAGAGCAGGGATGGATTCAGCACAGCAGAAGATGGATAGAAGAAGATCCTGTGGCCGATGCCAATCAATGGTTTAAGCAGTTGCTGAGGAGGCCCTGCCCTAATCTTGCATGCTGGCCGGCCCTAATGGCTTTTTGTGCTGTTACCCATCCTCCCTCTGCTCTCTGCTCCACCCTGAATCTACATCACGCATGGGACAAATGGGGACAGGTGCTTTATTTCCCTGCTGGACAGACGGGGGGGCCGTGTCCCTGTTGAGGTATTTGGAACATGTTCAAAGCCAGCCTGGGGGAGATTTCTGCAGCAGAGTTATCTACATAAGATCACTTTATTGGCCATATACAATTTCTTGTATTAGGAATTTGTCTTTTTGCATACCCCAGCTTGCTCTCCATGAGACACACAGACAGGGAGAGAGAAGCTTGGGGTCAGAGTGCAGGGTCAGCCATTTATATGGCGCCCCCTGGAGCAGCTGGGGTTAAGGGCCTTGCTCAGGGGCCCAACGGAGTAGGATTCCTCTGCTGATTTGAACCGAGATGGATATTTGAACATCAATATATTACAGAATTCATTACTGCAGTTCTTGGATAAGGAAGAAAAAAAGTTCTTATCTCGAGAGGTTTTCTAGCTCGATAACGCAGCACTGAGACAAGTTATCAGGATGCTTAGGAGAGCTTTTTTTTGGCAGCAGCCCTACATTTCGCAGATTCATGGTCTACTTGTGAGAGAACTCCACAATTTCACCACCGTAACTAATTTCCACTGATAAGTGAAAGACGTTACCTTTTGATAACCTTACTAGTTTTTACTTTACTACTCATGTTACCACTGTTAAATTTAAATGGAATGTTACTACTTTTTAATTTAAAACCATCTGCACACACATATGAACAGCCAGACAGAGTTGTAGACATATACCACTATTATCCCCTGTCCAACTATATTTCTACATGAGTAGTTCAAGTAGGTAGCCGCGTCAGCAGGCGTAGGCTTATTAGTAAAGGTTCATTCCACGCTGAAAAGAGAAGAAAAGCACAGCGTTTCGGCTGTGGAGCCTGTAGGTGTCAAAACAAAACGGGCAGCAAACAACCACAGTCGAAACGTTGCGTTTCTTTTCTTCTCTTTTCAGCATGGAATAAACCTTTACTTGTTCCTATATTTATATATATTGCCCGTATATAGACTATATATGGGAAAGACTGTTGAACTTTACTTGACAATATCTCAACCAAGGCTCATTCATTCCTGCAGGTAACAGTTGCAGTGTCTTTTGAACCGACTAAATTAAGACACGGGATGTGAAAGATGCCATTCCTTATGTCTGAGAGTCAGACAGATGGACAGATAACAGGTTTAGACACACAGGCTGACAAGCAGGCAGGAGTAGCAGATGAGGGGGGGGTATTTCATAGCACTTTACAAATGTACGTTTTCGGACACATACAGTATCTATCATCAACTTGTGCTATTTTTGGCAGCGTGGTGTGCAAAAGCCAGACTGTTCCTTCAGGAGTTTATACACAAAAACTCAAGGCCAAAAGATAATCAATTTCCGATGGCCTTCCAAAACTTCATTTCCTAGGAAGTGTTTCTGAAATAAAAAGTGAGAGACATGTCCCCGGTAATGAAGCACAATCAGTCGCCCTGCTGATGCATCACGATGAAGGAAACCCAATATGGAAACCTAATGAACTGTAATTGAAAATCTGCTGCATCCAGTGTTTTAATAAAATGAGATATTCCTCACTCTGTCTCTAATGAAAAAAAAAAAGTTAATAGGGTCATCCTTAGCTAATATCTGGAAATGTGCTGCAGTATTCAATTTTATAGTGTGCATTCAATTTTTTGAGCAATCAAACCATCAAATCCATAAAACGAATGACTACCAACTTCTAGCATTTTCAGTCTCTTTCCTGCTGGCTCCCAGTCTCCTTATAAAAGCTTTTTTCTACTTTCAAACAAAAGCACTGCATCAAACATTAAACCCTGTACATTTCTTCTTTCAGAAAGAGGCACCAAACCTGTACACATGAATCCTGCCTGTTGTGCATTTATACAAATACAAAAAGCGGGGAGATGGTTTATAAATGTGAACATACTGTACGGGCAATGTGTGAAAGTTTCACAGAAGCATCCACAGTTATAGTAATAATGGGATGGAAATCAGAGGTTAACTGAAAGCAGAACATCCCAAATGTGTGAAAAAAGCAACTGTTGACTCTCAAGTTGGATGCAACAGTGTGACAATGTTTTTTTTCCCCCAACTCAAAAAGGTCTTTGCACAGTGGCACAGTGGTTGACACTGCTGCCTCGCAGCACTGGGATCCTGGGGTCACTTCCAGACCCAGGGAACTATCTGTGTTGAGTCTGTTATGTTCTCCCTGTGTGCAAGGTTTTCCTCCGGGTGCTCTAGTGTACTTCCACTGTTCAAAGACATGCTGGTAGGTTAACTGCCGCCTGGCCCTGAGGGTGTGTGCATCAGTCAGCCCTTCGATGGACTGGCGTCCCATCCAGGGTGTACCTTGCCTTATGCCTGCCACTTGCTGGGATGCTCCCCTGTGACCCTAATTTGAAAGAAGCAATGGATGGATAGATCTCTTTGCTTTAAGGGCCCTGTTTTGTGGATTCTGGATACAAGCGATGCCAAAGACCCAGTGTGATAAATAATCCTCCATCCATCATCAGGAAGCTGTTTATGTCTGGTGAGGCTTGCCGCAATCCTGAGAGACCGAGGCATGACTACACCCTGGATGGGATGCCTGTCCATTGCTGCACTTATACACATGGACAATTTCTAAATACACCAGTTATTCCAGCTGGCAAGTGTCTGGGAGACGGGAGTGAACTGGAAAGCCTGAAGACAATGCAACTGAGCACAGGGAAAACTTGGAGACTACACACAGGAACCCCCCTCAGCCCTGAATCAAACCTAGGACCAAGCCGAAACCTCCTTTTCAGATTCCAAATTAACACTTAAAATGATTAGATTATAAGTATATAGCTACCTCGCCTAATTAAGACTTTTCATTTCAAATACCACACGCAACTTCAAACAACAAAACAGAATGTGTTTTCAAAGCCTAGCTTTAATTTGCTTTGTTTATAATTGCCCTACACAGGATCCCCAAGTTCTTTCAAAGCATTGTGCAGAAAATGACTGTCCTTAAGCACTAAAAAAAAAAAAAAGAACAGAATTTTTGGAACAATTTGTCTGTCCACAGGGCCGATTTGGCTTCCTGTAAACTCCTGTTAGCTTCCTGACATTTTTTGATAACCGAGTTAAGGAGAATAACACACAGAAGTGTTTGTTAAAATGCTGTCATGCAATTCAGATTTGTTGTTAGTCTGGATCAAATGCGGCTCAAATTGAACTCCCCCAGCTCCATTATTAAATTTGCTTTATTTTAAAGTCCAACACAAATTAATTGTATTATAGCTGAGTGCCGCATTGATCTGGGTTTATATAACATGCACTTACGTCTGTCAGTTGCCATTTAATATCAAAAAGAGATTACTTTTGTTCCTAAGTGTTTTTTCCCCATTTTCCTCTAAAATAAAAGGCTATAGAAAAATACTTTCATCAGATTGTTTTGTGTCTGAAGTACTAGACATAAGACAAAGCCCAAAATGTCTTTCAACACGACTTCGATCTTGAAGCTGCAGAACCCTGAAACTCCATTTGCTGCCTCATTAAATATTTTCCTCACCTGAATATTTTAAATATATACATTCACACTTTATTTACACTCTTTCACTGTCTGCGGCACCCGTCTGGTATTTTCCATACACCTGACAGGTATTGGTATTGGTAAGTAAATCAAAACCCAACAACAAAAAACACTTCTTTACTGAAAAATGGAGATCCGTATCTCAAATGCTTGTTGTCCTTACCAAGGTCCATACTTTTGGAAGATTTCACATTGCGGTGCTCAGACTCCCTTTGTAGGTTTGGACTCGTCTGCCACTCAGGACTGTAACAAGGTAACAGAGGTAACAAAACATTAAGGAAATGGAATAAAGCAGGTGAGCAGTAAAGATGTTTGAAAGGGGCACTGGGTCAGCTTGCAAGGCTGGAAAAGGAACACGTAAAAGGCTAATTCCATGCAGGAAGATAGACAAAAAAAAAACGTTTTGGCTGTTGGGTCTTCTTCACGAGTTTCTTTTAAATAACGGTATAAATGTCTCCAGCTTTTCTTCCAGATCATTTCCCAGTAAGCTCTGAAACCAAGTCCAAATCAGATTTTATAGCTCCTGCGTCCTATTTACCAAACCAGGCTTCTCCCAGGTAGAGACTTCATGACACAGCAACTGTACAGCATGAATACACCGAAATTAGCAATCTGGATCATCCTTCTCTGACCAAAGAAACCGTCGGAGAGATCATCATAATACGGCCAACTAACTCTAAATGGAAGTTTTGACTCCTGCATGACAATTAAATTCTTAGAAATGGCAAACGCCAAATTTAAAACTCTTATACAGCATATACTGTAGATGGCCGAGTGGCTTAAAAAAAATGCTTAAAACCACAATTTTACGATCACGAAGCAAAGGGTGATATCCACCTCCAGATCACTATTACACATTAAGTCACCTGAACCAAGTGCTTAGTTGTTGCTTAGTTAGTAAACAAGCACACCAAGAGAGGAAGGCATATACCTCTTCATCTGATCTGACCTTTGAGAACCTGCAGCCTTCAGCGCATCTGCATCTAGATGGATGGGAAGAGATGGGCGGTCTTCATCACGCTCCTCTTCCTCCGTGTTGTATCCTCCGTTCATCACTTGGTTGGGAGCTAGGTAGAGAATGTGCAAGGTCTCAAATGCAGCTCACATATGTCAATGCACACGTCTGCGTGTGTGCATGTGCAGGCATTACTACTGTACATGTGAGGACCGAATCTGATCAGATACCCTCAAGAGGATGATAAGCCCCCCCCACAAGACAAATTATTTTAAAAAGTAAATGGCATCTTCTCAAAAACACGCAAGTGTCAAAACTGTTTTGTTTTGTGCTTTTTCCCTGTGTAAGGTTTCAAAAAAAGAATGAGAGTCAACAATTGTACCCACAAATCCAGAAAGACAAACGTTTGTGTATTCTGCATACATACAGTATACAGATAGGACTTTGAAATCAGATTAAACCTTTTAGCGCATTTTAGTCTGCAGGTCAAGGATATAAGTCACTTGCTTCTCAGATGAGATAGAGCTGTTTTATCAGCACTTAAACAGAGAAAACCTGGCTTTATTCTGCCTGCAGCATATATTAATCGATGATCGCTTTTTGCAATTGAGGGCCTTTGGAAAGGGGTTCTACTTGTTGGGAGGCTCTTAAAAGCTCCCTCCCGATTTCCAGACCCTGACATTTTATAGTGTTCCTCTCCCGGTCACAATGTCAGATGTCAGAACTGCTCAGTAAAGCTGCTTCTGTCAGAGGAACCACAGAGTTTAAAAATCCGAGATGGAATTTCTATTAATACATCTGTCCAGTTTTCCTGAAATAAGCAATTAAAGCAATCTTTATCTTGGGGGTTGAGAGGAGAAAGTTAAAAGGCGTGACAAGCATACCATCTTAAAATCAAGTTGCCCGATTGAACTTTTTTGACTCCTCTTTTGCCAGTAGTGTGCCTCAAAGGCTGGTTTCCTGTGTTGGGATTTGTCACATCTATTTTCTGATTCAACATGGTATATCGCCTGACAGGAAAATGCTAAAAACTGCTGTCCTAGAAAAACAGATGATAACCTCACGCTTTTGGATTCTCAAGCTCTGTAAATTTCCAAGAACCCATGATATTTGCAGTCCGCAGCTTCTCAATTAAGATTTGTCTTCATACGGATTTACCATCACATCATTAATTAGTGGAGTGCCATTAATATAGAAAACACAACAACATTCGAAAAACGGATAATTGCAGAGAGATGGAATAAGCGGGCCTTCACACTTCAATTTAGAGTTTATGATGCACAACAGTTCAGAAATCACGAAAAGCAGCTTATAACTTGTTTTTTAAAACATTTGCCATGCTTTAGTACATGTGCTTATCAGTGGGTCATAAATTTATTAATGTCAGAGGAGATACGACTTAATGGTACTGGGGATTAGAGTCACTGCTCACAGATGATCCTCTAATCTCCTCCACACTTGCAAACACTACAGTGTCAAGCGATACCGAAACAGAAGAATGAGCTCTCGGCATGCTTCAGAAAGCAAGGGAACAATCAGCTATAGAACTGATTATTCATTTCTTTATTTCGATTTAGAATTACGTCTCATGCGAGACGGGTATAAAAATGGCGAGGACAGTACATCAATTTAAAAAAAAAACCCACCAATGAAGATACTGACGTAAATAACCCAGAGATTTGTGACATTTGTACACAAAACACTTGTGTGCTGTTGATACTGGGAAGTGCCCATCCACAGTGCGCACAAACGTTTAGCAGTGATGTACAGTACAGACATGCAATGGGAAGCCCGGGTGTCAAATGAAAGTATTTGGGTTAAACACCTCAGGCTAACAATCTGAAGCTTGCTTTGTAATGCATCGATATAAATGCAGATTTATAAATCCAATAAAAATCCATTTAAATATGTAAGAATATTATGCCAGAATTAGAAGGTTAGTTTCTTTGTTCACAGCATGTTTGTGTTATTTAGTAGACTCTCTTTAGCAGGCCTTTACAGGACATCAACAACAGCAATGCCTTTCTTATCTTACAAGCTTAAAGTATGCCTTGTATTCTAGTGATTGCGTTGTGCAATATTCCATATGTTTACATTTTGCACTACCCATATTCTGATCAATCAATAAGGGACATAAAAGGTATTTTTCAATATCCTTTTTCTTTGAAGTGAATCCACCAAGCACCTTTTCACATTCAAATGGGGGTGATGCAAGACATAGCCAACAAAGCAAAGGTCCTGGTTCTTTTTAACCCCCCGGTAACTATTGGAAAATGCCTCTTTTGTGTAGTGATCCAATGACTCCCAGGAGATGAGGACTTTATCTCAACAACACACAGAGCCATGCCATATTAGAGGGAGCCCGGCCCCCCATCAGGCCCTGTGATGCAACACATCACATCAACAACAGCATACAGACTTTGGGCTTTTATTATCTCTATTACAGTAGATCCTCACAAGGCTCTTGGTACGAGGGTGAGGTGCTCATCCACTGCAACGTGTACTCAGGCCACATCACCTGTTTCATTTTTAATAAGCTCAGGGATACCTCAAAGCAGGGGCATATTGTTCCTGCAATGCTGCTGTGTCTGTAGGTGTTCATTCCAACACAGATCTTAAATGGATAATCTGCTAAACTAATGGGTTATTGGCTCAGCTAAACCAGTTTAACACCTTTTACCAGCTCTTTAGGTCTGGCTGATTTAAAGAAACCTACAGACACACTGGCCCTCCAAGATCAGGACAGGACACTCCTGTAACGGAGCAAGACCCCTCCCTTCAGTGTCTGATTGGGTCATTAAGGATTGAACACCTGCAGATACAAACCAGAAGAGGACGACTCCGGCCTTAAAGGTTTCCCTATATACACACATACAGGTTATGCATGTAAAAATTAATAAATAAGGCTTCTGCAGAGAAATATAAACAAACCAGCCAGCAAATGTGTTTTCATCAATTTGGCTTATCGGTGTCAAGATGAAGATATATGCTGGAGAAAAAAAAAAACCTGATCTGTAGGCACACTTTCAGTTTTATTGGGTATTTAGTGGCTGAAGTCACAAATGATAAACAGACGTACTGTTTACATCATAACAAGCAGCAACAATCATAATTCTTCCTGATATAAATCATGTTTCAGATGGCTGGTCATTATTAAACATCCAAGCCGCTCCTCATTTGCTCATATAGCACAAAACTCTGCAGTCTGGACGTGATTTATCACTCTTCTGAATACGTGATAAAGCCTATCTATCTTCATCTAAAGCAAAGCATTGTAGAAAATGAAATTCTCATCAACATTTAGAAGTATCCGACGCTAGTGGGTACTCATTCACAGACAGTTAGCCAGCGAGTTTTTTTGTCTCTTCCAAAAACAACACTTTTCCTGAACGTAAAGAATCAATGTGTCTTTATAGCACATCAAAGCTATTAATCGCACACACACCTGTGTCAACAGAAAGGGTCTGCTTAAGAAGGGCACTTGCCTTGAATAATAAATAGCATTTTTCAACGGCACAGGCAAGGTGCCTTCGTAGCAGGAACCGGAAGGTTCAACTTATTAATTGCTAACTGAGTGCCATCATTAACTTCAAGCTGTAAAGGTATGCTTGCTTGATTTGTTCTCTCTACTAGTGATTTTTACACCTATTTTGCTATCAAAGCAAAACAACTTTTATTTGGATCATGCATGAGAGGAACCACTGCAGAGGGAGATATAACGAGATGCACACACTCCCTTTCGCATCAGACGTTTAAAGATCATGTGCAAGCTAAACAAAGCGTACCGAATGACTTAAGTGCTCTACTTATCAGAGGGGACTTACTTCATCCAGTGAAATGCAGCTCCACCTACGGTTACGCATGGTGGTCATTCTGCACCAGTAACTCCACTGCAAAGCAGAAAGGTTGCTCCTGTTGAACTGAAGGGCAACTTTGGGCAGGTCAAATAGTGCAAATCCAGAGTAGAAATTAACCAGGGTACCAATGAACCAACCTGCCCTTATGAAGAGTTCAATACGATTTTTAACATACAGCTGTCTCTATTGCGTCTGGTAGTAGTGCACTCTTGAATTGTCTTAAATGATTTATTAAATACACAAATATGCAGCATGCAATCTCTAAAACCATCTGGGTAGCCCACACCACAAAGCACTCCACCTCTATTACACGTCTGCTCAGACAAATGCACAGCACTAGATCAGTCCTTCTATGAGATACTGTATTGTACATCTAGACAATTACTTTCTTGTAGCCTCACAAAGTAAGCTTCCTCTATCTATGAACGGTGCCTTGAAAGCTGTATGAGTGTCACAACGTGTTTTCTTTGAAACACCCAGCAGAATTACAACTACAATGAGATGTTGCAGGCTTTTGTCTTGTGTACAGGGCAATTTAATCCTTGCCCTCTGTCTGTAGCAATCTCTGGAAACAGCACTTGTCACAATTTCTTTGCCTCAATTAACAATAGGCACCACTATGTTGGAATACCCTTCTTAACTCTTGAAAAATGCACAAATTTTACTCCAAACGCTGTGTCCCACAGGACACTTCCGTAGAACAAAATACGAAACCTCCTGCAAAACTCAAAGTCTACTACTGTATATGGAACAAGTAATAGGTTTATTCCATGCTGAAAAAAAGAAGAGAGAAAACACAACGTTTTGGCCGTGGAGCCTTCTTCAGGTGTCACAGGTAGACTACTGTATATAATGCAAATCTAGCTCAGCAAATAGCTGTTGTATGTGAACACACAAATAAAAGAATACATACTGCATATAAGCAACTACATAACCTTAGAAAGGGATTCCAGAAAGCAAACTTTCACAAAACCATTCATGAGATATAAATACATTTACAGAAATTAACACCTACTGTAAGTAATGACAATTAGCTTCTTCATATATAGATAGATATCCATAATATACCATAGGTTCCTATAGGGATTAATTAATAATAACTGGTTGTCCTTGTAGATGGTGGTCTACTCAAAGTTGTTCACATAGCACTTGGTATAGGTGACATCAGAGCACATGGAACTGCTTAAGTAACCAAACTCTAGAAATTCACATTACAGTGGAAGCTGTGGAAAAGATCACCAGTGTTTTCCAAAGAGTACAGTATGAGTAGTCTTCACACTTTTGAAAGCAAGGCCATTTTGTTTATTTAAATATTGGAAAACAGGAGAATAAATTTCACAGCATGTTATGCTAAGTTTAGTAAAGGACATATGAATACATGAAAAGCGTCATTATATTTATTCAGAATAATGGTCTCAAGGTCAAATCCGCTCAGCAGATAAAAGCTGTACAATGGCATCTGTAAAATACTATTTGTTTTGTTACCACAGGGTGCTTCGGCAATCCTATCAAAGAGATGCAATAATTTAAATGAGTGGGACACATATAGCCTTAACTACAATTGCATTCTGTGCTTGTGAGAAGTTATTTGTCAAAAGCAGAGGATGTGTTTAATGAGACTATATTTTGCATGTCTGGAAACTCTAGCTCATGAAAATGAACAGCATGTGTTCTCTGGCCAGTGTGAACAGTCGTTTGAAACAGCTGAATCATGACAAACTGTGCCAAATGTGTATCGTTTTACAAGCAAGAAATCAAATCTGAGTAAACTGGGGCTTTTTTTTTGCGATAAGCTAATGCAAGAGAGTATTAACTTGGGAATTTTTGAAGAACAGTTTGAATACAAAACAACACGATAATGGAATTATTATGGGTAGGGTTTCGTAGAGAGCATTCTTTCATCCCTAATGTGTATTGAAATAAGCAGAATTTAACAAGGCCCACTCATCATTTTTTTTCTCCAAATGCAAGGTCTTCAAAAAAGGACTCATTGTTATTTATCATCTTCACTGGTGTGGGTCTGCTTCTACTGCAACGATCAACGTTGCGACATTTCTTGTCACATACAGTGTGCATGGAGGATGGGATTTTGGCTGCAACGATGCAAAACTTCAGAAACAAGGTAGAGAAAGCTGAATGGGGCAAAAAATGACACTTTGGCATGAGAAAAAAAAACATTTAAAGCAAATCCTAAGGTTAAGAAAAATAAATTGGCAAGTCCTTTCTACACGTATGATACTAATATTCAGTCCATGGCCTGAAAACACAACCCTGGTTAATTCTAAGTTACTTTATATACACATTGGCTAAGGACTGGTCATTTAGACCAATCAAGATATTAACTGATTTAATGAAGTCATTAAGAGCAAAGATGGAACATAAAAACAGCTTATATATTTATGTAGGATCTCAGTCATTGGCCTGCAATTTAAGATTGCCTGGGATTTAAGACTTACTTGCTTGAAACCCATTTACCATATGTCCTTTCCTTTGCTGGTGATGACAAGAGAATCCTTAACGCTCAAGAAAAAGTTTGCACTACAGTCAGAATACAAGCCTAGCAAAAACATGGTTCCCGGTTTCGAACAGTGTGTGATCTGAACATACCGATACATTTGCATGTGGTTTTTCCATTTCTGCTGCAAAAAATGCAGAGCAGGTATCCATGGGTGGCACTGTACACAATGCAATTCAAAGGGCCTAATCAGAAAGAAAAGAAAAGCATCATGAATAGAAAAGCTCACTCACCAGGTCTTGTTTCATAAATACTGTTAGGAACCATCACAGCCGGCATGAGACCATTGGCAGGTTTGCTGGCAAACTGCTGGGCTTGTTCGCCGTCCGCAACACGGTTCTGAGCCACCCAGGTCTCCTGACCCTCCTATCCAGGAAAGACGAGACGTCAAATAAATGGATCAAAAAAGATCCATTTCAAAATTACACGGTGAACTGCAGCCCTTAAAAGGGGATGACACAGGGCCTGGGTATATGGAGTAAAAAACAAAAATATTGATCAGCAAATAATAACAATGATGATCGTGTAAAAATTCTACAGTGCACTGGCACAATCATCTATACTTCAAATTTTGGAGGAGTGCCAGTAGCTGTCATAAGATCTCAGAGCTCCGTGTGGAGCCGGTGCATTTCCCGAATTGAATACATGTGGAATCCTGAGACTTTTCGAAGACAGGCTTGTAATTTGTGCCAAACTGTGAGGAACTGATTGACAGGTTGGCCATGTGGAAAAGCACGCACTGTTAAATGGGGCTAAGCTTAGGACCGGAGCATTTAATTTGCGACATGCTCCAGACTGGAAGCACGGCCTCTACACCTTGAAGGGCTTGCTAATCTTCACGGAAAGACATTCCCGATTCCAGAAGCCTCACAGAACAAATGACTGGGCACCTGGGCAGGAGTAAAATCTCAGGAGAAAATACTAGTCTGGAAAAAGACAAAACAGTTTGATCCTATGATGCCAAATGCCCAAAAAGAGCACAAAACAATGCAGGAAAAGCCAAGACGTTTACAAAAACAAACCAGAGAATATGGAAGTAAAACAACATAAGCTGTTGGGCTTCTCTGAAGTTAATATATCCAACACTTCAGACGAATGTGTCAGAATATGACGGGATGAATTTAGGTAAGATATTCATGCTCAGGCATCGCACTGAAAACCTGAGACAGACCTGCTTATCCCTCTGTTCACTGTGATGAGTTGAATTTAAATTTGAATTTAAAATCTAAAAAGCCACCTAAATGTATCCGCTTTAAAAAAACAAAACAAAACAAAATAAAATCCCCAAAGTTTCATATGTGAGTCAGACCCAGGATCTAACTCTCAATCTCTGACCCACTTCCCACAGACCATTTTGCAAACCCCAGAAAAAATAAACAGCAGAGAAGTCCCCTATACCAAAAGGCCAACCCCCCCCCCCCAGAGTGAGAATTAGAGGAGTGGCCTCACTGATAAGGGACAGTGTAGCATTGGAAAGATGTACTTCAGGCTAAATTTACAGCAGGTGAACTGTCATGGCTTTTTAAAAAATACTAAAACACATGCTTCAAATCTGATAGCTATTGCATCCCCTGCCTCTTTTCAAACTACAAAGTATAACAGGTGGTTGTCACACTAAAATCACTCACTTTCCAGCAACAGCATGTTTCACAGTTAACCCACATGCACGTTATTAAAGTACTGTGATAAAATAAAAGTCATTTTTGTGCAGAAAGTTACAAAGAGAGTGTTATTTCTCTATGAGAAACAAACAAATGTTCCGTTCAGAAAAAGTGGCATTGCTAAATCATTTCTCCCAACTAAGGAGAAATCATTTAACTATCAGCAACCATTAAGAAACAGATTGCTTATTCTGTTAATTGCTCATTATAGCAAAAATGAACTGCATGCATAAATATCAAGACTTACTGATTTTATAAATCACCTTACGATGTCAAAATACCTTGATCAAGTAGTTTTCTTTACATAAATTGTCTAATTATGCAAACCGCTGATCCCCATCTTATGCTTGTCGGTCTGTTCCAAGTACAGCTAAACTTAATCGATGTTTTATTGAAATGTTCACAGATTTGAAAGTCAAATTCATACATGCCAACACTGTGTTAATTGCTTTAATCTCAATGTCCTTTACAGCACAGCGCGAGCATGACTGAACAACGAGAGAGCTGGTTATTTCTTTTCCCCCTGGTTTCTGTGTACTCTGCACAGAGTGTGTGCTGTATACATAAACAGAAATCAACCCTCTAGCTTATACACTGAGGTGGTTTTGCAACACTGACCTTCCTCATCAACTGCCTTGCCTGCATTAAAAACACATCTTCTACAAAAGAAGGAAAAAACAACGTTGTCGGCAATTCTAAATTTCCGGTTTGTCGTCTGATCAGAAAGGAATTGGAGGGGACTTCTTATTTGTACAAGTACAAGTCTGTGAATGCAACTAGAGCTTCATAGCAAGTGCCTGGATTTCCCTAAAACAGGTAGAACACCACTGGAGATAGGGTTGGGAGCAACTGGCCAGGATTCTCACAACCTGCGGGGTGCCTACGTGCCTTGCAGTGACATCCATGAGAGACCCTCTCCACTTCCAATCAGTACAAACGTGCTTATTCAGTGACAGAAACGTAATAATAATTCCTTACACTTTTATAGTGCTTACCTGGACACTCCACTCAAAGCGCTTTACAGGTAATGGGGATCCCCTCCACCACCACCAGTGTGCAGCCCCACCTGGATGATGCAACAGCAGCCAGAGTGCGCCAGTCTGCTCCCCCACACACCAGCTCCCAGTGGGGAGGAGAGCAGAGTGATGAAGTTCAGAGATGGGGATTAAGTGGCCATGACTGAGAAAGGCTTGGAGGAAATTTGGCCGGAACACACCGGGGTAACACCCCTACTCTTTTCGAGAACCACTCTGGGATCTTTAATGAGCATGGAGAGTCGGGACCTCAGTTTTACAGTATAGTGTCCCCCCCACTATACGGGGGCATTGGGACCCACACAGTCTGCAGGGTGAGTGTCCCCTACTGGCCCCACTAACACCTCTTCCAGCAGCAAGATTAGCTTTCCCAGGAGGTCTCCCATCCGGACCAGGCTCACACCTGCTTGGTTGCGAGTTACAGGTTGATGAACTATAGTTTCCAAGTATCTGTCCCGTTTGGTAGTTAGCATCTTATTGATCCAACAATCTCAGCCAGCCATTTTTGGAAACAAGCCAGGGTATCAGCTTTGATCATTAAAAAACTACAGCAGGCCCTCTTGTTCCACAATCCCAATGTGGAGTTTCTCTGTGCATCAGTGGCTCAGAGGACCCTCATTCTGTTCAAAAGTCACTGCCTTGGGGTCAAAAGCAAAAACAACTAGCAGTTCCAAAGTGTTTGGGAATAAAACTAAGAACTGCAATGGCTGTTGGAGGAAACAAACAGAGAAAGGATTTTAAACAGTGGGCTTCTTTCTTTTATTCCAATAAAAAAAAAATATTAGGCCCCTAAAGTAAATAATTAGTCAGAGCTTGTAAATTCATATGTTCACTAAAACAGATAATGAACAATGGACATACATGGAAATACTGTAGTCTAATTGGGCTTTCTTAAAATTGGGCTTTCACCACCTGAGCAGAAAAACTGTGGCTACATTCCTGAGACTTGCAGTTTACATAACCATCACCAATGCTGCTCACTGGACAGGCTGTGCCTTCGCAGCCTGATCAGCGTACAGGTTGCGCACAGGTACCTTAGTGGACAACCCTCTAGAGCTGCCCAATTCAAGACAGTGGCTGCAAGCAAATGAGATTAGCGAGGATCAATGAGGCTTCCTGAGCCAATCCTTCCATTTAAAGATTGTCAGCTACTGTTCCAAAAGGAAGAACACAGAGCTGGCAATTTTAGAGGATGGGCCTCAGTCAGAAAGCGTCAGCTGAAAAGCAAATCGGGTCAAAGAAATGTTTCTGAGGGAGCCATGTCTATCCAAAGGCAGATTTTACTGGCACGCATGTAAAAATGGTCTGAAGCTATCTTCGATCCCATACAGCCTTGAATCAGTAAGAGTGCAGCAAGCTTGCAGGTCTCTGAACACCCAACCCACCCCAAAAATACAATTAAACAGACTAATATTAAAAATTCGATGATAAAAATACTAGTTTTATAACCAATCTGAAGTAAAAAATGACTGTAATCATCACAAATATACTAACATTGCTCTGTTCCTTGAAACAAGCTGGTAGCTTATTCAGCAATACAATATGCTGAAAATAACAAGAAAAAGACATTTCAATAAGATAGTGTAACATGCCAAAGTTATGCGTTTAATTACAGTTCCCATTCAGAACGGGTCTTATATTTTTTTATTCTGGCTTTGCAACTAAACTGGTTGACAGAATCATTGCCTGATATCAAACAAACTCGCTGGAGTGCTAATGAAACCCAGACATTTGGACATTACTGTACTAAAAAATAATTAGATCACCACAGCAGAATGGACTGGGAAAATATGTCAGCGAGCAGGAGAAATAGGATAAAATATTGTAATACCCGGATATTGCAAAAGAATGTTCAGTATCTTCTTGTTTCCTGGTTTTCGTCACAAAAATCATTTGTATAATTGTTTACATAAGGGTTTGGTGTGTATGGATACTAGACAGACAAACGCTGGTTCTGCTTATAATTTCTTTTATATTAAAGCACATTTCTGCTTTATCAGTTCTGGCAACAGAATCCGGGACTTCACTTTCCACTGCTACTGTATAATTGCAAAATCATATTGAATTTTGCAATATTGAATAAACATTTGAACAAAACAGCTATGAAAACATACAACTCCTCCCTCCTAAGTTCATTTAGATACCATATGGTGTTACTTGCCCTTTCTTCTCCGTTTAACATTTTTACCTCATCAATTTGTACCTCATGGTCTTCCTTCCTTAAGAAAAGCTTTGTAGAAGCAAGCAATTTGCATTTGTCTAGTGCATGTTTAGTGTTTCTCTTGTTCTGCTGGCTGAGAGACTTGCCCATAAAATTAACTGAGCAATTAAACTTTTGCTCAGCAAATAACACTTTTACAGCTGTTAGGCTCACTCTGTCCAGACCTTTGTTTGGTTCATTTTCAGTGAGGATACAAGACATTATTTGATAATGCTTGCAGTGGCTCTTTTTGGAATTTTGGAAATACAGGAGAAACCTAACAGTGTACCGCACAACATGGCATTATATGATTGGTAAAAAAATCCCTTCTTTCTTACCAAGTGCTTGACAGGACTAGAAAAAGAGAAACAATGGGTTATATCAGTTCGGAGTGATTCAGGAAGCTTATTGGTTTGTCTCCAGGGGCAGAGTTTTTATTAACTTTTATCAGCTTTTATCAGTTTTTATGGTCCTGTTAAAAACATAAAGGTTTCAAAGAAGAGGCCCATTTGATTAGTCCATTGGTTTTCAGCAATTTAGCTGAGGATCGAGTGCAGATGTTTAATGAAACAATATCGTTAACAGCATACTGCAGCTGGGTTGCTCGGTCCATTTTTTTTTTTACACAGAGGGATGGGGGAGTCTTCGCTTGCTAGTTTTAAATTTGTTTCCATGTCGTTCCTGCTTGTGCCCTCTGGTTCGTGGCTCACGTGGAAATTTGAATAATTCCAATGGGTTTACTTTATCAAAGGCGAGGGCACAACTTTGAGGAAATTGTAACTGCAGTGTATATACTCAGACATTGATTGCCTGAACTTCAACAAATGATAAAAAAAAAGTCTTATTAGTCTTAATATACAGTAGGAGAAGCTTTAATGTAACACAGCAACAGTACTGGTATTGTGATCTAAATACATGATGCTGATTGACAGGCTTGTCTTGATTATCAATATTAGCTTAACAACTTTAAGCCGGAAACAAAGGATGGATTTCAACCTGCTGCTTTAGACAAAGAGCCGATAAATAGACTCAAAGACCCTTCCACCTCTAGGCCAAGGGACTCCAGACCGTCAGCAAGAACTGAAACGGAGCTGGGGGAGTCCAGGCATTCCCTGAGCTTGATTTCATTATCATCCAAGACCTTGTAATCAGATTATGCCAGGGTATTTAGATGGCTGCTTAAAAGCTATGGTGAAAGGATGTGATTAGATCTTGCCATACCATAATAGCATTTCCCTGAAGACTATACAGCAGGGCAAAAGGGGTACTGGTACAAAGGGGCAGCACTGATATGCTAAAAGCTTTAACATCTCTGCCAAGGCTTTTAAGATGAGCTAGCTTCCTCTCTCTCTCTTGTTTTCCTGTTGTGTGTGGCCCCTTTTTGCAGAATTACACCAAATCAACTTATGTAGATCCCGTGTTCCTATAATGCATTCTAAGACGTCGGAAACAAATTTCAGAACATCAAGTGCATCGGAAAACGTTTGCAGCCCTTACCTTGATTGCCTGCTATATTACTATCTTCAGGAAAGAAAGGGCTTTTGCAAAACAGCTGACTCCAAAAACTGGATACGCGCTGACCTATGTGAGCACATATTGACCAGACAGTGCAATGAGGGCACAGCAAATTCAAAGGTTCATCCAAACTGCAGTACCGTTTAGTGAAGGGTTTTGTTTTGCCAAGAAAAGCAAGCACGCCAAAGACAGCCCAGAACATCAGGGCTTTTACAAGAGGCATGAAGTGCTGAGCAAAAGCACACTTGGAGGCAAATGATGTCGAAGCAGAAACAACATAAAAGCAAAGTCTTCCCAAGTCCCTTCAATCAAAGACCCAGGGAACAAATTACAGCATGTTTCGCTAAGCCTTTTATTCCATTAAGGCAAACTATTACTAAATTAAAGCTTAGCCCATTGGGGGAGGCTAAAATCTGTCGAGCAAAGCAGCAAGCGTTCGCTTAAAAATCTGCTTTCTCTTTATGATAAATTGCACAAATCGATACCGCAGCAGCTGATCAGTAGTAGGACTAATTAAAGTATGCGTCTCGCAGAGCAGACTCTTCATTTTAGCCCACATTACTGTCTTGGCCAATAATAACAGATCGAGGAGAGACCAGGGGGAGCCCGTTCGAGTCTTGACAGCGACCGACACAAGAGAGGGTCAGGAGCCCTCACCTACTCTGCCTTTGCAGTTTAAAAACATTATCATTGAACTCTGGCCACATCCTATAAAAATTCATCTCTGTTTTACAAAAACAATAACCATACATTTAGCCAATGCTCATTTCTCAAAAGACAGCCCGTCACAACAGTTTACAATAACCATAAATCTGTATGAAGAATGGCTTGTCTGACGCAATTATATGGCAGTTAAGAGCCTGTATGGACTATGAGGGGAGAGAATAGGTTCCCAGAGAGGGAGTCGGACTGGACTCAATGAGTGGGTGACCGTGACCCTACTTTCACCTTCTCTCTCAGGTCAGCTGAATGATGATGATGATGATGATGAAGAAATGAGACTGCACAGAGCTCTCTGGGAAGTTGGTCCGGAGTTTGAGTCTCCTGGAGTTGCGATTTTGTTCCAAATACATTTAAAAAAGGCGCACTGCAGTCCCTGTCAGTAACGGCTGTAATAAAGACTAGATAAGAAGTCATTTTGACACCCAGGGTTTTAAAACCCAAAAAATCACTTGGTGCAGAACGCCCCAGGCCCCACTCAGCTTTGTTCAACAAACAGATGGAACAGCTCCGACGTGCTCAAGTCCTAAAAACCACTGGGCATTGCGCTAATCACTCACCCATTTTATAGGCGCTGGGCTCAGCTTGAGTTTGTCCCTGATCTGCACTTAAAATGACAACTTTGCAGTGCAACCAGGCACCACTCAATTTGAATCTCCATTAATTTAGCCGAGGAGGATCAGAGACTAGACGGTAGCAGATACAGAACCAGAATTAATGAAAGGTACAGCCTAAAAGGGGGAGAAGTGCCATTTTAAATAGAGGCAGGGGAGACCTTTCACAGTCTTAAATTAGAGAAAATGCAATACTTCTGACTAGTTCTGCATTGATCTTCGGAAAGGCCTGCGGTTTTAAACAATGCATTTTTTTCTGGCAGCTTCAATTCAGTTTAAAGACGGTTTTGTTTTTCAAATGAGGTTCCAAGTGCAAGCAGATTCTTGAACGTGAAGCTGACAGCTAACTGTTAAGACTGCAAACACATATGAAATGTAACAGTTACAATGATAAAAAATATATATTTTTTAGATTCTTGCTACTACCACCACTAATAATAATAACCTACGGGGTTTTCCACCTAATTCCTGTTCTAATTAATTTTATCCAATGGATATTCCATTCTCTGATCTTTCATAAAATCTTTACAGTTGGAAAATCATGTTATATACAGAAACCAGATCTGGAATCTCCACACGGCCTGTTCAGTATGTGCAGACCTGGCTGAACTGTTAAGGCCCAGTACCTCGTTGGGTCTGTCCAGGCTCCGCGCCACGACTAGCTGGATCATCCCGCGGATGTTGCCCTCCATGGACATGGACCGGCGAAGGGTTTCCATGGCGTCGTGGTTGGACTTCCCCAGGAGAGATTCCCCATTCACGGCGATGAGCTGGTCGTTCGCCCGCAGACGCCCGTCCTGCGACAGAGGAAGAGCCCTTGGTCAACAAGCACAGCTTTTCCACGTCTTCCCCGACTGATGTGTTGAATTATAAGGTAAGGTAAGATCACTTTATTGGCCATATACAATTTCTTGCATTAGGAATTTGTCTTTTCGCATAACCCAACTTCCTCTCTATGAGACACACAGGCACACAGACAGGGAGAGAAGCTTGGGGTCAGAGTGCAGGGTCAGCCATTTATACAGCACCCCTGGAGCAGTTGGGGTTAAGGGCCCTGCTGGCCGCGTGATTTGAACCGGCAACCTTTCAGCCACAGGCGCAGATCCTTAGCCACAGAGCAACTGAACCACACTGAATTATGCACAGCACAAAAGGAATAAAATTCAAGTGGAAACTTGTTTCACTAGGTGTAAAGAACACTGACCCTCAGAATCTACGCAAGGTCAGCAAATCACATTTTCAGTAAATTATGTACAATAAACTCTTGATGTCTGTCAAGACAAGGCAGAGGCAACATACGAGAGGAGTTGTACTGTATGAGTCTCCCTCCTGAAGGACTGGTTCCATAAAAAAGAAGAGTATAAACAATTTAATGTAGACATGGTTTTCGACTCTTGAAACTTAAAACATCACAACAATAGAACACACACTCCACACAAATGCATTCACCACTTGAGTCAAGGGTGGTGAAATTTACTTCTGCTTCTCTACAACAGGCACAACCTGTAGCACGGCTACGATCATTTTCAACAACACGATGACTTTCATAAAGCGGGCTGAAACTGCAAAAACCATCAGGCTGTTGATGGATATCATGTTTTTTTAAGCAACACAAAGCAGGCAATGCCAATAAGGGCCACTGTCCATGGCCTGCTAATCACTGCCCATGTCTTCCTCAGTAAATGTGAGTCAGGCAGTTATTTAACAAACCCAGCTCGGGGTTTATAATGGTGCATGGCTTTAGTGGCTAAAGCTCTTCAGCTGAGCTGCATGACAAAGAATTATGATGTCTGAATATTAAATGGAGTGCAAGAAAAAACCCCAGGAAAACATATTACTTGGAATAATAATGCAACACAAAAGCCTTTAGATCTTTTTCTCATCTTTCATTCATTTAGGAAAATTGCTTCTGTATACGGGTTTAGTGGGAGACAGAAGTAAGGTTTACATTTGTTCTGCGAGACTGCTCAAAACAGAGAAGTGATCTTTATTATTTTCTGTTAGCATTATGCTAATATTGGTGCTTAAAGATTTGACAGTTTTATCAACATAATTTGATCTTGTCACACCGTGTTTTATGAAAGCTAATCTTTGTATTTTGCAGGTGTCTTGATTCAGTAGATTGCACAATATCTTAAAATTAATATTTATGTAGGAACACTGCACGCAAATATTTCAGCAGTAATGATTCAAATAAATTCCTTTCTCATTGGATTGAGAAACAAAGATACTTATTTGCCCTGCAGGCTAACTGGGCAAAATTCCAGCTCCATACTTATTAAATCAGATAGGCAACTTGCCCAAAAACATGCTCAGTGGGAGAAAGCAGGCCTGATGCAGCAGTTAGATACACCTGTAACACAAAAAGGCTTGCACAAAATAAAATGAACATGAACACATTACTGCTGCCTGAAAACGTTTCTAAGAAGAACCCACCTATTGTTGGAGCTGATCCTATGCACACATTGACTTTTACCCAACAAGTCTGCTTATCGAATTTCATCTAAAAACATTTTTAGGAGCCGCACTTGTAGGATCAACAAAAAACAAAGCACGTCTGTTAACAAGAACTGCAAGCTATTCAGACTTTATTCCATAATGGCAGCAACATCTATCCCAGACTTTTAGGAGGTGGTAATGGATTTGCAGGCATCTTAGTGCTGTCATCTGTTAACTGTGACCTTTAACCTGGCCTTTAACTTCTAAGGCAAGATCTGTGCTGACCTTCAGAAATCTACTGAATTAGTACCAAGCCCACTTTCACTCTTTAATTAAATACTGACTAAGCACTGACGGCAGGGGGAAAAACGGGGGCATAAAAACACATCTAACCACAAATATCTTCTTCTGCCGTTCGCAGCTGCCATCTCAAAATGTGTTTTTTTTTCTCACCTCGCCCAAAAATTGGGAAAACGCACCGTCAAGGGATTGATATTTCACATGCTCGCAGCAAACCCACAGGCTTTTATTTTTTGGAGCCTGTTGACCTCAGAAGGCAAATGATTTAGCTCATTTTGCCTTTGATTGCACCAGGGCTTGTGGTTCTGCAGAAAAAAAAAACCTGGCGAATATTGAGCAGCCACAGTAGAAAAGTGAAATGGATGAAAAAGGACCTCACTGGTGTTTGGGGTGGGGGTTCTTCTGCTTCGTCAACTAGGACAACTAGGACTCAGAAAACTCGGGATCAGAAATTCTGCTGGGACTAACAACACAGATAAAGCCATAGCAGAGACTCTTTATGTTCCTAACTGGCATCTGAGATCTTTTGTGAAGGTGCTGACAGTTACCAAGTTGAAAGTATCAGGAATTCTGTGTCCCCACATTTGCACAAAGAAGAGATGTAATATGTGATTATCTACATAACACAAAAGGCACTGCTTCTACGCAGGGTCATTTCTCACACTGATCTCCCTTTCAGCCCCAGTAAGACACTCAAAGGGAAAAGGAAAAAAGTGAGAGATCCATTCACCGTTGCCTTTGTAGCACTTCCAAATAAGTTTGATAACTTTGCACTACTTCAGTTGCACTGTGGGAGCTCAGGGAGCGAGCAATCCGGGATACAGATTCGGCTTTAACCTCGTTCAGGTCGGAGAACAGCTTCTTAGCCATGAGGTCAAGACTCCCTCTGGCCCCCAATAGACGGAATGATTCAAGAAGCTTCTGTGAGAGCAAAGATGTAGTGGATAGAGGCTAAATGAATGCTGGGAAGGAGGTGTTTATTACCCATGCTTATTCTGAGTTCAATGTGCTTGAGGAAGCATGTCAGCTCTCTTGTCATTTTCTGGGGGTTGCTGTGAAGGATCCCTCATTCCAAACTGCACAATTTTGTCTGTAACCAGTTAGAACTGTACACATCAGCAAAGCAGTAGGGTGAGATTACAGCCCAACTGAGTGTCTTGCAAGTATCTTGCCCATAAAAAAAAAGACACAAACACTCCTGATAATGAGGGTGTTTTTCCAAAACAACCTTGCACTTTGCTTCAATGTCAAGGAGGACCCTCTTGAACGGTGTGACCCCAATGGCCACCACAGTGACGCACAATGACCACAACAGCCTCCGCAGAGAGACCCAAGAGAACAGGCTCTGGTACCAGAAGGTGAATGAAGGTAGCTCCTCTTTTTCTCCAAAACCTTCTGTAAAACGTGATCTGGCTGCTGATGTGTTGAATTATGCGCAGAACAAAAGGAATAAAATTCAAGTGGAAACTTGCTCCACTAGGTGAAAAGAGCACTGACACTCAAGGTCAGCAAATCCCATTTTCAGTAAATTATGTAGAATAAAACTCTTGGTCTCCGTCAAGACAAGGCAGAGGCAGCATAAAAGAAAGTTGTATTGTACAGTATGAGTCCCCCCGCTGAGGGCCTGGTTACATAAAAAAAACAAATACAGAGAATAGCCAATTTAATGCAGACATGGTTTTATAATCTTGAAACTCAAAACATCACGGCAACAGAACACAGGTTACAGGTAAGGATGCTGGCCCTTCTATTCTACGAAATACGAAAGGGGAATGTGGGTCTTAGGAAGTTTAAAGTGAACCATTTTTCCATCACTGTGTCGAGAAGCCAGGATTTCAAGAAGAGTATTTACAAAACAAGCTACAACGTATGCAGTGAAAAATCTCAGTAAGGAAAAAGATGCTGTTTCATACTAATCTGAAGCTTAAGGTTTTCCATATTTGACTGCAGTATACGGTCAGTATATACCTTTGGAAGCTGTTTATTATAGGTGTGATCATTTCTATTTTTCACCAAACCTAGGCTAACCTAGTAGTTCTTGTAAAACAAGAGGGCAACATGTTGAATATAAATTGGTGCACACAGGTATTTACACAGAAAATGAAATATGATCCACATTTCATGTATAGCAACAAACTGTAACTAGACTGCCGTACATTATTAATTACGCAGAGAGGCTGACTCAGCAGCCAATATGTCAAAATGTGGAATTTATGAATGTTTCAGGCTTTTAACACACAACTGGGAATTGCTTGTAGAGACTGAAGAGCAAACAGGATCCTGAGCCTACCATTAAATAAATGTATGATTTCTTTTTTCAGATTGGTCTCTGTCACCTCCAGCCAGAGGGGAAAAAAAAGGTGGTCTTTAAAGCTAGCAGAAGAGAACATGCCAGTCATGCTTTGCAGATTTTGGGTTAACCACATTGTTATAAAACACAATTTCAAGTGCTGGCGCATGTGAAGTATTTCTGCGGCACGGGCCAGCTAACGCGCCAATTTGGGGGGAGAAATTCTGGTGCCCACCTGCTGGAATAGGTTCTAGCTAATAAGCGGGGTCTTTAATTTTTCAATTATCGTTCACATCCTTGATGAGGAATCCAGAGTGCTTGGAAAGGTGAGGCACACTTCAATTAGTTTTAGCTGCTCTACTGAAGTGTTATCATGAGAAAATCAATATGAGGCTTTGAAACCGGTTCATTAAAAAGGCCAAGGAGAGGAAAGCAGATGTTTTTCTAACAAAAAAAAAATCGGTGGAGATTTTCTTATTTTTCTCTGGTGTACGTCTTCTTTTTTGTTCCATGCCTGAGGTCACCGCCTAACTGTCTAGTGCTGACCTGAACCCTTTCTGTGTTTGAGCATTTAAACCCAAGGAACAGACTGTATATTGTGGGAGACCATCACACTTTAGAGCTATAGAAAGTCTTGTTTTTTGTGGATTGTGCCATAAAGAGAATATTGAAGTGTTATCCACCAAACACCTTAGCAACTTGGATGCAAACTCTGAAAAATGAAGTGTATACAAACACCAGCAGATGTGTGGGTCCCCCAGGTGCTGATTTTTAGATTATTCATAAGGATTGCAGTATAAATTACTTAAAACACTACAAAACAATGATCCTCACAGCGAGGCAAAGCAGAACACGAAACAAAGTTCAATTCTGAACAACTTTAGAAGCTCATACAATTTTGGTGTAAAAAAAAATGTTTTTTTCTTTACTTTTTTATTCCTTGGTACAAAACCGGGAAGCACACGGGCCCCACACCTCACAGCCGAATAGACATTCATTCACATGGCATTGTGAGTTATCTATGCAGTGTTTTTATAGGAACTTCTTTCAGCTTCAATCTGTTAAAAGGTTTCAAGAAGAACAAATGCTCTTCATTAACCCCCAGTATACTGTCAGGCTAAGAAGTATTGAAATTGTGAGAAGCGTCTGGTGATGGAGAAAAAGTAAACCATTAACCATTCATCCATTATCAGACAGCCTCTTCTTCCTGGGATACAGCAGCTGGGATCCTATCTGGAAAGGGCTCAAGACAGGGCTACACACTAGACAGGCCGCCAGTCTATTGAAGGGCAGAAGTGCATGTGCAGACAATTTAGAGCCGCCAATTAACCCAGTCAACGTGTCTCTGGGAGTCGAGAGGAAACAGGAGCACTTGGGGACACTCATGCAGACTTAGGAGGACCATGTAAACTCCGCACAGAAAGCACCAGAGTCCAGAATCGAACCCCGGACCCAAGAACAGTGAGGCGGCTGCCCTTATCGGTCCTCCGTGCATGTAGGTCTTTCTTTTTGCGCTGCGTAGTATCATTCTTACTTTTTGAAGGGCTCTGCCCCTCTTGACAGAGGGTAGTTTTTACACTACACCATTTATACCATCATGCCATTTATAAGGTTTGACCAGTCGAGAGCAGCGCTGTCTGGACTGATGCCCACTCAGTGTGTTGTGTTGCAGATGTCAAGAGCAAAGCTCTGTCCCAGACCGAGGGCTGCTGAAAACCTTTGGTCATTATCTGACAAGGTCAAGAATTCTGGGCCGAAGGGCATGAGGTCAAAGGAAAAGGGGGATCTTAAATAATACAGGGCAGCTGCTTCGACTTCGACTGCCACTGTGTTTGGAGTCTCCCTTGACGCCAGCCCCCCCTCCTCCTCCCCCTCCCCATGCAGTACCTTGAAAGCTGCCCCGCCATGGATGATGGATTTGATGAAGATGCCGAGGTCGGCCCCAGTCTCGCGGGACTTGTTTCCTTTCAGGCTGACCCCCAGGCCTGCCGAGCCCGAGTCGTTCAGCGGGATCTCGAACATCAGCTGCTCCTTCGACTCCAAGGCGGGCACGGCCCAGTCCTGCTCGCCCTTCTGAAACATAAGAGAGTCAAGGTAGTGGCCGTGACCCCTCGGCACATCTCAACACCAGGAGATTTCCAGGTGGTGAAGGCACAAAATGAGGCCGTCTCCAGGTTTGAGCTGCTGAATTCAAAACGCAGAGAAGATGACTACTAAGTGATCGGCATACCCAGGTAATAACGCCTAAGAATAAAATAAAATTAGTAAGAAATCAACAGAAGCAGTGTGATTTTAACAGAATGATCACACTGAGACCATACGGAGCATGGTTTTGTGCAAGTTAAATGACATCATACCTAAGGAGAATGGTTTTGTACAGACATAACTGCAGTCCTTAGAACTATGGAAGCCAGGAAGGGACATTAACAAAGATGCATATTTAGATTGGCCTCTATGGCTACACTAAGGTAATACCTCACATAGTAACAGTAGAGACCATACTCTTTACACAAAGGGGTCTGGGAGTATAGAACAAACCAACCTAGCCAAGTTGTTAAAGCAGATATCCTGGTTTCCCTCAAGAAGATAAGAAGTCTCTTATAGCTCCTAGAGTATTAACTTTTGTTGAAGCATCAAAAGCATTGTTCTGGATTGCCAGTAACATGCTATGTCAATGCGCATGTCAGACTTCCAAGAGCCGAAACTGCATATTTAATGACAGAGAGGTGAATGTCGGCAAAAGGCAGACAAAAAGGAGACAAGGAGGCATTTACCCAGTGTGAAGGAACAGATTTTATAAAGCATTAACACCTACACAGAGGACAAAAATAAAACGCTGCCCACTGCAGTAACATACATATCTAAGAGCCTAATTATGAAGCTCCTGGGGGTTAAATAATTCTACTACGGAAAGCAACACCACTGTTTTACCTTTGTAATGACTCAAAACAGTTCCCAAAAGGTCCACAACAGATGAAACCAACTGACATTCAGAAACTATAAACAACTACCGCAAATGCTGTACTTTAAATAGGGGAGTTGATTTACGTTCTTTTAATAACAGCATACTTTTCCCAGAGGACCACTAATATGGAGATGTTTGTTTTTTTTCTAATTTTGTTGGGTTTTCCCCCCGACACACTGGAGGAATCCAGAGAGCGAAATTAAACCACGTCATGACACAAGTTGTCACAATGTCAACCCCACCCCCAAAACGCCATTTGAAACGAAGGTGGAGACAAAGAAAAAACAGATCATTTGTATGACTTGCTTGACAATTTTATTATATTTAAAATAAAAACCACTGCCAGGTTTTCACTCTTCATTAAAATGCCATTCCGGCTTATTTACAGACATTCACGGCCTATAAATTGTATTTTAAAAGCCAGTAGAGCTGAGTCTGTGTTTACCAAAGACAGATATGATTTACAGTCACTCACCCAAGGTAAATGTAAAGGGCCTCTTCTTTTTACTGTATGGATCAGAACAACACTGAACTCTGCAATTCATTCTCCAGCAGTTTGTTAAAAGTTCACGTCTTGGCTCATGAAAATATAGAACAAGTTTCTATGTTCTTAAGAGGAGCAGTGGATCCGTTTAGTACTGCCACTTCCATTTTCAATTTCTGTAAAGTTTTGTTTGTGCAGCTTGTATCTACAACTGATTACACGATTTAGAAGCTTCTCCTTTGAATGCCACCAGATCTGCCTATACCCAGCGTCAAGGCTTAAATCGACTATCTTTATCTTTACTTAAAATCAGAATCAAGATATTCTTGTGCAGTCAGGTTTACATTATGATTATGAATTGCTCTGTAGTGGGGCTGCTGGAGAATGACTCAGCTGGGTAGAGCATTTCAGCGGGGGATGAGGTGGGTCTGCTTTGGGATTCTTTCTGAATGAAAATTCCAATGTAAAGAAGCCCTTTCATTAGTATTAATAGTGAACAAGCGTCTCAAAAGACGTCTAGAAATGTAACACAAATACAAATACTTTATGCCAAGCTTTACTCATAAGATGGAAAACACTGAGCCTGAAGACACTACTTATAAAAAATGTTTAGGCGTCTATGTAAACTTGTCATTGCCATTGAACATGAAAATTCAAAAGGGTAGGGGCAACCAGATCAGATTTTCTTTACAAATACTCAGAAGGAAATGGATATTTTAGCACTTTATCAATTATCCAAATGGCAGAAAGTTGTCTTTTAGCAGTTAGATACCAACATCATATTGGACACAGCCCAATGCATTTATTCTTTGCCGGGGAAATATTAACTGCAGCAAAAACAAAGAATAATAGGTTTTAGGTCTCTATATGGGAATTTATGCATAAAAAAATTCTTATTTGAACAGCTGGCACTTTGAAGTCAACTGTCCTTCAAAGTACAGATTTTGCAAGAGTTGTTCTGTGTAAAAATGCTGCCTCTCTCGACCCCTGTGATTAAAAACCGTGATCAGTTTACACCCAATTTGTTTCTCCTCTTTTCCTTTATTGCTGAAACAACACTTGCACTCGACAATGCAAAACATGTGGTTGGAGTGGAAAGTTTAGGGTCTAAAATCAAAAGCAACAGACTGGGGTAATGAGGTCAAATAAAGGATAGGGTCAGCTTCGAGACCCAGCTTGGGCTACTCAACCGTGACCTCTGACCTGAGTGGCGATTTTAAGAGAGCCGTATGTACACTGTAACTGCCATTCAAGCTCTGTTTTGTCTGTCCTTCTGAAAAGGATACAGACATTGATTGAATCGTGGTTTCTTTTTTTCAGGTCTTTGATCCTTCTAGGTCTTTTTACAGGACTGGAGGTCTTAACTGAGCTGAAAAAACAAATGGCCACTCCTAATTTTCCTTTTTTTAAAATATTTGAATCTCCAAATAGCTCTTGTGACATTCCCATCTGATGAGACAACACAGCGGAGAGAATAAATCTTTGGTCTCATAACTGATGGGTTGTGGGTTCAAGTCTCTGCTGCTGTTATACCTTTGAGCAAAGCACTGTATAATTACACGTCACAGGCAGCACAGCTCCGAGCTGGAGGCTCAGTCACCCAAAGCACCGTGGGGGCCTGCCAGCATACAGGAAACCACCAGGCCCACCAGGTTGATGGGAGCTAGCTAGCACCCTGGTCGGCTAATCCCAACCATACCTTTGGTCGAACTGCGCTTTGGACACTTTGCATGTTTTGGGAAGCCCGTTCAAGCCTGAATCACCCATTCACAGAGCTCAGCCCGCCCTCAGGGGAGCCCCCTTAAAGCTGGAGCCACTGGGGCGCCCCCCGAAACTAGAAATCCCCAAGCGGGGAAACAAAATATCAGGAAGACCTAACAGGAACAGAACGATAAATGAAAGTGTGGGGTTACTGGCCATTTACTCCTGGAGGAACATAAGTTGTTTTCCTTTCCATTCTTTACTCCTCCCGGTTTCCCCAAATACTTAGCAGGCACTGACCGTCTGTGGCCGGTGTCACAAGCACACCAGTTTTATTTTATTCATTTTATTTGTGGTTCAAAAACCCCTCCCCTGGGAGCTGGCCAAAATGGTGATTAAATAACAGCCGTCCCTGCAACGCTACACTGGTTTGCAGTGAGCCTTTGAATTGATCCAAAATGCTGACTTCTAACCCGCTTGGCCCCCTCAGGGGCTTGAGGACCAAGCTGTCTCTGTGACTGGTTGTGCTTTTCCATCTCCAGGCTCTGCCTCCAGAGCTTTGCCTTGCTGGGCTGCTCACTGCCGAGTAGTGGGCTGTTCACAATACTGTAACAATTCACATGTGTCCAACTACACAGTGCAGCAGCAGAAGGTGGGATAATTCTTGGATTAGTGCCCCAATGTCTTGGGAAGCAATGATTCCTTATTCACAGGCTTCTGTTGTTTTGAGATTCTCGGGAAAATTGTCTGTATATTTCCCCTCTGAAAAGCATGTTGCTAAAAACGCTGAAAGACAATGGAGGAATACAGATGTATTTTGCAGTGTAGAGAATGTTCTACTCCACACACTTTTCACTCACCATGAATGAGAAGTGTGAAAACATAGATCCCTTCAAAACATAGGTGGTCAGGTGTAAAGGTGATACAAAATTTTAAAAAAAATCACACGGGACTATCTGGAGGATCAGCGTGAAGGATCTAAAAGTGAAATTAAAAACTGGATCAAAAATGGACTAATGTCAAGAAGTATATACGTTACATCAAAACGTGCTATTTTGAATATTCAATATTCAGATATCTAAATATCTAAAATCAGCCAACTATGCTTTCAATTACTTCTCTTTACATGCTGACCGTACTGCCCAACAAAATACTGGAGAGACTTCAGACACCTCCAATTGCTATTACAGCTTTAAAGGGCTGCTCCAAATTCACCTGCTGCTTTAGGTAGCAATTTCCTGGAGCAATCTGGCGCAGTTACCTTGCTCAGAGGTACCCATAACCACAACTACTACCGTTTCTAATTGCCTTCTTGTCACCGGAGGTTGGATTTATCTACCGTTTCGACGTTGTGAGGACGAGGCGAATGTCAAATATGTCTTAATATGTTAAACCAAAAATACTTACTTTTTCACATCACTGTTTGATTGGTTACAATGTAACAGAGGAGCTTCTAACACCTGATATTTACTCCTCAAGTATAGTTTAAAGATTCTGATGTATGAGAATTAAAAAAAGGGTTTCTCACCTCACCTAAGCTAGGATACAATAGTGCTGATATACTAGTAGAAAACATAAGTATGAGTAAATGAGTAAAGCGTGATTATAGCTAAGGTTAAGAATTTGGCACAGTAGCATTCATATACAGTACCTCTAATGTGTACAATGGAATGTTATGACCAGCAAGGATTAAATCAAAACTTTACCCTGTCACCAATCAAATTCCTAACCCAAGAACAGGCAGTAATTTTACATTTGGTATAGTAAAATCGTTACGCTTCTGTAAAACTGAGAAACATACTGGGTTTATAACTTGAAACGAGCAAAAGCCACACTCCAAGTTCTTGTTCAAATTCACAAATGCAAGCTTTAAAAAAAAAATAACACTGAAAGGAAGGTATCAGCATTTCTCTATAGCCCATG